CATTGAGGCCCCTAGATAATGCTTCTGCTGCCAAGATAAACAGAGTTGGAGATACAGGATCACCTTGTTTTACTCCTCTTGAGGATTTAAAGAAACCATGAGCTTGACCATTGATTAGAATAGAATACCAATTGTTTGAAACTAATCCAAAGGCAATCCCTATCAACCTTTCTGTGAATCCCATCTTTCTCATTACCTTTGTTAGGAATAGCCAAGATAATCTATCATAAGCTTTGGTCATATCTAGCTTCAGGATGACATTAGGTCCAGCCTTTGTTCTAAGCCTGATGTCAGTGACTATCTCCCGAGTTAAAAGGATGTTTTCTACTATATTCCTGCCCTTAATAAAACCTGACTGTTCCTCCGATATCAGATTTGGGAGAAATTTCACAAGCCTTTCATGAATGACCCTCGATATAACCTTATTTGAAAAATTACTGAGGCTTATGGGTCTTAGATCAGAAAAAGTGGTAACTTCTTTTTTCTTTGGTATCAGAACTAGGTTTGTGTGTGTTACACACTTTGGTAGCTCATGACCATTGAAAAAAGCCCTCACAATGTCGAACATGTCATCCCCTATTATGTCACAACAAGAATGATATAGCTTGTCTGTCATACCATCTGGCCCTCCAGCACTATCACCATTAAGTCCAAATACTGCCTCTTTAACCTCTTCTTTTGTTAGTTGCTTAATCAATTCTGCATTCTGTTCATTGTTCATCATATTAGGAACATGGTCTACGATCTCAAATAAAGAAGGAGAAGCTATTTCTGTGAACTGTTCCTCATAAAATCTGATAGACTCTTCTGCAATTTCTTTTTCTTTTTCAATCCATGTTCCTCCACTATCTTGAATTCTGTTAAGTTGAAGTCTCTTCCTCCTACCTATCACTTGTGCGTGGAAGAAATTAGTATTCCTATCCCCCTCCTTGAACCAAGTCATGCCCGCCTTTTGTTGCCAAAATTTTTCCTCTAGTGCAAGACAATTGATCAATTCTGCCTGAACCTTTTGTAGCCTTTCCCTGTTCATCCCTGTAGGATTTGCTTCAAATTCTGCTTCGTGAATCATCACTACCTCCTCCACGCTTGCTATCTTTTGGAAAATATTTCCAAACGTAGCCTTACTCCACAATAAAAGGGCTTTCTTTAATTTTTTTAACTTGTGATTATGAATAGTAAAAGGATTTGCACTGAAATCAGCTGTCCAGTTCTCTCTCACCATGTCTTTAAAAGTATCATGTTCCACCCAAAAATTCAAGAACTTAAAAGGCTTTTTTATTGGTGGAGTCTCAGTATCACACTTCAGATACATTGGACTATGATCGGAACCAGTCTTTGCCAAATGTTGCACCTCTATTCCCGGAAATGTTTGTTGGAATTGTGAATTGGCCAAGCATCTGTCTAGTCTTTTGAATATACAGTCTTCCTCTGCTCTTCCATTCCACCATGTAAATATGCTACCTTTAAATCCAAGATCAAAGAGATTGCAAGTGTTGACGCAGTGTCGTAAATCATCAATTTCATTCAATGACACAGGTAACCCCCCAAACTTCTCTTCTTCGTCCCATATTACATTGAAATCTCCCCCTACTAGCCATGGTGCATTCATATCTCTTGTCATTTCATATAATAAATCCCATAATTCTATCCTCTCAATTGCATCACATTTAGCATATATCAAAGTTAGAACAAACTCCACATGCGATTCAGTATGAACCAATTGTAGTGTTAATTGTTGCACCATATTGTACATGACAGTTACTTCAAACACTTCATCTATAAATGCCCAGATCTTGTTGGAAACATTTGAAATTGCTTGTGCAAGTCCTATCTTGTTTCTGTACCTTTCCATTTTTTTTGCTTGTTGCTTTGGTTTCATTAATCCTACAAAATCATAGTGATTTTTTCTGTGCATTTTTGTCAACCTTTCAAAGGCTTGTTGTGTGTTGACTGACCTTATATTCCAAATGAGAGCATTCATTACTGATTGTTGGATTTCGTTAGCGTTCTCCTTGTGTGCACCCCAGCTTTTGGTACTGCATGATTATCTTTTTGTTGCTTCTTCTTGCCTTTTGCAGCTGATTTTGACTTTGTCACTTGCGTAGGTGATAAGTCACCTTGCCTTGCCGCTTTCATAAGGTGTTGTGTAGTTGATTCTTGATCCATGTCGTATCCTGACTTACTAGGTTCTTCTCCTTCTTCATTGTCTTCCTTACTTCCTGATGTAGCTCCAAATGCATTCCTTTTAGGGACCAAGGCCTTCTCTTCTCCTCTTTTTAACAGTTGCAACTGATTTTTCTCCATTGTAACAGTAATATTCAATATTTTTGTTTTATGTCTTTGTTGTTTCTCCTTGTCTGTTGTGTTGTGTCCTTGTGGGTCTTCTTGTGATATCTGAATTTGATCATCTTTTGTTCCTCCAGGATCATTTACCTCTTGGTCTCTTCCTTCATAGTTTCTAATTTCTGTAATTTCAGTTGTGTTGTTGTCATTGGCTTGGTGCTCTCCATTTTCACTTTGCTCATCTTCATCTTTGTCCTTCTCATTAGGTTCCTCATCAGCTTGTGCTCCTTGTGGTACTTCGTTCTCCTCTGAATCGTATTCCCTTTGTGTATCCCATAGCCTGCCTCCACAAACTTGCACTCTTTCTTTAAATGTAGCTGATTTTGACCCTTCTGCTTGAGTATTTGGAGTTTTATTAGGTACTTTGTTCACTAATGTATCTTGTGATGGTATTTGCTGGCATGGTTTATTGATCTTCACTATTCCCTCTCCTGTTTTATTCTTGAAACTTCTTTCTACCCATTTTGCAGTATCGTTTATAGCTTTTGATGCCTCATTTCCATTGACTAGACCATTAGTCAAGCTAATCCCCGATGAATTAAGATGAAAAAGTTGCTGCAGGATTTAACTTTCCCTCATTATTGACCATATTTTTTGGTTTTTGTTTTGTAGATGCATGGTTGTGAAGTGTTGTACTGCTTGTTGCTGTATTATCTGTCACTTTTGCCAATTGATTAATAGGTTCTTCCTCTTCCTCCAGCCCTTGTAATATTGCAAACTTGTTAGCTACATGAACATGATCATTATCTTCATTGTCTATAGCCTCCACTTCCTTACCACTGTTGCTCTATGGTTTTGCTTGTCTCTCTACAGTGCTTGTATCCTCTTTATTGTTATTGTTTTCAAGCTGCTTAGCTAGTGACATCTCCATTCCATTATTACTACGACTAGAATTTTGATTTAGTTCTTTATGTCCTGTTTCTTAATTGTATCTGTTTGGTCATCATTCTCCTTCTCCACATATA